TTGAGAACCCATCTGGTGGCGCTCAATTGATTCACGAGATCCTAGAATTGACTAGTGTGTTCTGACACCGAAATACCACCATGTAACTTATGGTTTACTAATCGCCTCATTAATAATGTCTTATTTCGGGCAGTTTTTGCTTGATACATGCTTCCAAGCTTCTCCCATAGTGTGTAAGCACTCTGTTCTTCAGCAACATCATGGAACACACTACGATCGATCCACTGTCGAATTTGTGCGACAATTTTTCGATTCATTTTTGTCTATTCTTCATCTGTCTTCTTATCCGGTTTGATGCCATTATTATCAAGAGGATCGGCTAAATCCCTCAAATTTAGCAAATCCTCCATCTGAGGCTTCCACATATTGTAGTTTGTGGAAGTGAGCGCAATCATGGTGTCCGATGATGATTTATCCATAACTAAACGCTCAATATATCTCGTATCTTATTTTTGAAGCCGAATTTGGTCAAACGGAGCTGACCGTTGGATCCGGAATGGTCGAAAATGGTAGGAACCGGTCTGACCTCATCCAAAACCGGTCTGGAAGGCATTAAACCGGGCTCCACAAATATGAACCGGTTCGGTCCAGTCCAGGCAGCAGCCCAGTGTGCAGACATGCAGGCAAATGACGTGGCAACATCTGGTTCTGCGCTGACACTGGCGTGGCAGCTGACTATGCGTGACGTGGTGCTGATTTGGACGACGCGTGGCACTGATGTGGTCGTCTTATTCGACGAGACGGCGCGTGCAGCGCGTGCAACGGCCCTCCTCCTCTCGCCATCGCGTGGCGGCGCGTGCAGCGGCTTCCGTGGCCATTTGGTCGCTGAAAAATACCAGAATTTTCCTCTCGACGAACCGAACGTTTCAGAATTTTTCTGAAAAATGAGAAAAAAAAGTGTATGGAAACTCAACATGTCTCTGATACCATTTGTTGGGATTGGAAAATTCTTCTATTCAATATCAAGAACAGAATTGCAATAGTAGGAGCAAACTCTCACACTCAACTATTACAAAAAACAATCCTCACTAATACACTTCTACTCTAAGTGTATTTCACTTTTCACACACTTTTCTCACTTTAGAAACTGATACTCATGAACAACATGGAGCAGTCTATTTATAGGACTAGTTTGGAGACAAGAGGAAGTGTCATCCAAGCTTCCATTCACATGGTAAGGGAGCTTCCTAGCTATCTTCAAATAATCTTCTCCCATGTTTATATGTTGGAGACCTCCTTCCAAGACGGTGATAGATGTGTCTTGGCAACTTTCAAGAAAGAGGGTGGAAGATCCCTACATTGCGGGACACGTATCCGGTTTGCTCTTGATAAAATCTAGTCACGGGCGAACCCGAACATTGCAGAGGAATCATATCAGAAGCTATCTGGGCGGCAGAGGAATTCATTATTAGATGATGATCAGGGTTTTGTTTCTCCGAAAGCTGGAAAACAATAAAGAGCCGCACGAACGGGAGAAGGAGACACAAGGAAGACTGTATCTTTCCTTCCGGGATAAAAAATCTTGCCGGAGTGATCTGATTGGTTCCGTGGAGAAGAAATAGCCAGGATTCGAGCTCCGCAAGAACAAGCAACAACAACCCCGCCACCGAGAGCCGAGTACAAGGCAAAAGAAGGGTCCTCTCTCTCCGCTTCCGTGTTGGGCTTTCTGTCGCTCCCCTCCTCTAATACGCTAGAAGTTGTTTCATTCCGATTCGGATTCAAAGAATCAAGAACGTAACTTTACGGAATTACCCTTTCAATAACAGAGTTGTGTCTTGTGTTGCTGGCGGCCACAATGTTTCGTTGGTCACTCCGTAGGTATCTGTCCCTTTATTTCTTACAGAGTATTTCTTGTAGATATCTTGAAATCTAATTCGTGTTAAAATTATGATTCCGCTTTTTATAAGAAAAGCAAAAATGTGCTCAGTTTTATTGGAATCAAAATCTAACATAGAAAGTTATACTCCACGTGATGTGATTTTTTAGTATTATCTTTATTCATGTATGTATCTTTATTGGCCTTTTGTATCTTAGATCAAATTAGAAAGGTTCACTTGTATCTATAAATATTGTATCTTCCTATTGAATAATACACAATTAGATTTTCACTCCTAAAAATATCCCCTGCCTCAGTCGAACATGGTATCAGAGCAGCAGCTTTGAAGCTGTGCGCATCGACAATCAAAAAAGCCGTCTGCGAGCGGAACAACCCTAGTGAGGTTGATTCCGATGACCGCCATGACCGATTCAACCTCACCTTATTATCTAGGGTCTGGTGATCATCCCGGGAACGTGATTACACATGTGATTTTTAAAGGAGACAATTATGTAGCTTGGTCTCAAGCAATTGCTCTCTCATTGAAGGCGCACCGCAAATATGTCTTTGTGGATGGAACCAAGAAGAAACCGACCGAGGCTTTCAAGTTACTCGACTAGAACACCGTGAACTCCATGGTGGTGTCTTGGTTGTTGCGAAGAATGGAACCCAACGTGGCGGCGTCGGTTCCCTTTCACGATGAAGCGCGTGTGTTGTGGAATTACGTGGAGAAACGTTTTAGCATTTCGAATGGGCCGAGGTTGCATCAACTTCGTGCATCTATAGTGGGCTGTAAACAGTCCAAAAATATGTCCGTGGATGATTATTACACCACGCTCATGAGCCTCTGTGACGAATTGAATAGACTTAAGCCTTTGCACGCTTGCACTTGCGGTTTGTGTACGTGTAATGTTGCTGGAAAATTTGTTGTTGATCGTGAAGAAGAACGTCTTCATCAATTTTTAATTCGAATTGATGATGAAATTTTTGGAATGGTGCGATCAAACTTGGAGTCACATACACCCTTACCCGACCTTGATCGTGCTCGTCAAGCTTTCCTTCAAGAAGAAAATTCTCGGGCTGTTGCTCACGCAAAACAGCCGACTGCAGTAGACGTGCAAGCCTTTGCCATCACAAAGAGGCATCAAGAACGGGTTGATAAGATCAAACTCGTGTGTACTCATTGCAAATAAAAGGGTCACGAGGTTGGGACGTGCTTCAGATTACATGGCTACCCGGATTGGTGGGATGAGAGGAACCACACCAAAAATGTTGCGACTAGCTGAGGAGGGGGGGCACGTGCCCATGCTGTGTCTTTATCTATGGGCAGCAGCAGTGGACCATGCACGAACAGTGGCAGCGGCTCGTCTTCCGGCAATGCGGTAAACGCGTTGAACGAGTTGAGCGTGGAGCAGGTTCAGGCACTTTTGAATTTGATTAATGTTGATCTTAGTTCATGCGATCGCATGTCGGGTATGTACACTTCTTTACCATGGATTATTAATACCGAAGCGTCACATCACTCTTAATCTCAATCTTTTTCAATGGAAACTCTTCAGGAATATCCTTCCCATCCCTGATAATTTAAGCAGATTTCAATTGGTTTTGAACCCTACAATCTGCCATCTTACAGGGCTCAGTCAGATACTATTAATCATATCTTCTTCAACTGCCCCAAAGTCAGACCTATTTGGGATTATTTTATGAACATTTTTGGGGTCTCGCTTAATCATCACACTGATACTATTAGGAAAGCTTTTATGACTTGGTGGCTCAAAGTAGGTTCGAAAAAGTTAGCTGATATTCTTAAGCACATTTTGCCATATGTTGGCATGTTTGGAAATCTTACGCATCTATTATTTGGGGTTCAGAAGGTACTCAGGTAACTAGTGACGGTTTACTTGCTCAGATTAAAAACTACACTCGGAACTGGATTTCCAGTATCTCTACCAGTAAGGTGGGTAAGGTTGAAAACTTCCTTTACGAGGAATGGATTATTCATCGTACATACATGCCTTCTCGACCAATTATCTTGGCTGTTAGATGGAATAAACCGAAGAATGAGCTGAAATTAAACACGGATGCATGTTTTTTACCTCATCAGGTGTCGGGTGGTGCTATACTCTTTTCCAAACAAGCTAGTCGTGTTTTGGAATTAATACATTGTGATTTATGGGGGGGGGGGCTTATAACACGCCTTCTACTTGTGATGCTATCTATTTCCTTACTCTGGCTGATGATTTTTCACGAGATGTGTGGGTGTACTTGTTGCGTGATAAAAAGGAGGTATTTGGTTTCTTTGTTTCCTTCATTACTATGGTGGAGAAACAATTTGAGGTGTCTGTGAAAACCATTCGTAGTGACAATGGGACCGAGTTTAAATGCATGCTTCCTTATTTTGAAACTCATGAAATTATTTTTCAAACGTCATGTGTTGAGACACCTCAACAGAATGGTCGTGTTGAGCATAAACATGGTCACATTTTGAATGTAGCTCGCGCTTTGATGTTCCAGGCTAGTATACCTATTCACTTGAGGGGAGAATGTGTCCTTACGGCGGTGCATGTTATTAACTGTACCCCTTCTGGCTTGTTAGGGGGTAAAACTCCATACGAGGTGTTCACTAGTAAGATTCCAGATTTCTCTCACTTACGGGTTTTTGGTTGTTTGGGCTTTGCATGTAATTTAAAATATCGCGATGATAAATTTGCTTCACGGAGTATGCGTTGTGTTTTTATTGGTTATTCGTCTGGCAAAAACGGTTGGAAATTGTATGACTGTGCTACCAGTGACATTTTTGTTTCGCAGGATGTGAAGTTCCATGAGGACGTGTTCCCATTTTTTGAGCAACCTGTCGACGTTGCAAACCTGTCGACTATAATCCCAACTTTAGGGCTCTTCCGCCAATAATGATCCGATGTGACCGACTATAAATAAATTTCTATAGTTTCTAAAGAGATATAGCAAGTAATCCCTATAAATAATCCTGAATTTTAATTTTTACGTTTAATTTTTATTAAAAATTCACTTGTTAGAGCAGGTAATATGCGGTCATGGACCATTATTGGCGGACAGATCATATAGTTGGGATTATACAAAAACAATCAATAGTTGGGATTATTGTTAGCGGACCGGCAATAGTTGGATTATTATTTTCAATTTTTCCTAATACTAGAGTAGTTCTTCTTGCACACGCTATTTTGGAAGCAAAGCATAAAATTTCTCTCCTTTCTTCATACGCTACCATAAAAACAAAATATAGTATGAAGCAGAGCATTCGCTCCCAGACCATACGCTATACATCCACCCCTATTTTCTTTATTGCTTCACCGATCAGTGAATTTCATTGAGAATCCTGGGCAGTCGGATCTAAAGAATTAGGCATACGTAATTAATCAAAGCAAGAAACGCATAATCGCCGCAAAGAGGTGATCTTGTACTCTTGGTCTGCAATTTGCAAAATAAAAAATCTGCACATTCAGTGTTTTCCCAACTTTTATTATATTGATTACATACGGAATGTTTTCTTTTTTTCTTTTGCTGAAATCCGAATGGATATTGACATAATGGCCGCCCATTACTGTTCCTAAATTGGTGCCTTCTTTAGTTCTTTTACTGAAAATCTAATTGATGGAGCTTCGTGATTTTTTGATATATTGTTGGAAGTTTTTTTTTATTATTATTGATTCATAACTTTGGTCATTATTCACTGTAATATCCGTTTATGCTTCTTAGAAGCATAGTTGCGTATCACATTATTTGGACCTTTCAACTTCATTGCAATAAAGATCTTCAAAGTAAAAGAGTCAGGGAAGTTTTACTACCTGCACTTGATTTTGTTATAAAATACTCCGTAATAAACTATATATAAAATAATACTCCATATATAACTTCATCACAGACGTCTACTGCCCTTATATGTTAACCTTCACAGAATCACATGAAACCCAAAGTCTTAAAATACTGGAGTAACAAAATTGGGAGTAATATACTACGGAGTAGGTATAATATTGTGGATTACTTTTATCACCAAAAAATAAATGTATTCAGTTTCGATCCAATTTAGAGTCGTAATATTAATATATTAGAATGTCAACTGTATCACGTTTTGGTCCAGTTTAGACAAGTGTTCACTGATTTTATGCAGTTTACACCCTCTGAGTTAATCGCCGGTTGACATACCTTTTGGCATATTTCTTGGAGAGAATACATTTGCAGGAAGGGTTTCTTTTACTCATTCAGAATGGTAATCTTCTAACTTTAGTAGACTTTACTCATTCCCTTCTTTTACAATCAGATTGGCATTTCATTTGTATAGCTACATTGTGGCTTTGTGGTACAACCTGCAAAAACATCATTTTACTTATTTACCTATTGTTTATCATTGGCTTGTTCACATAGGCAACAAATGAAAATCTCCCACCAAATGTGATAAAACAATTAGCAAAGGAATTGAGAAATCTTGATGAAACTCCACCTGAAGGCATTGTAGTGAGTGTAAATGATGACGACCTCTCCACGATATATGCTGATATAGAAGGGCCAGGTACCATTCCTATCTACCAGCCGTTAGAAAGTGTTATTGTTAATATTACTATTACTATTATTATTATTAATATTAGTCTTTAGATAAAATGAAAATCTTTGTCGTTTTTCACCTGCATTGCAGTTGGAACTCCATACGAGAATGGTGTCTTCCGGATGAAGCTGATATTGTCTCATGATTTCCCCCATTCACCTCCTAAAGGTTTGTCTTCTCAAACTCATTATTTATTTGATTTTGAAAGTTTTGGATTTGTCTTCACCTTGTGTATCATGTATTTACTTCCTTCTTTCTCTCAATTAGGTTATTTCTTGACCAAAGTTTTTCACCCAAATATTTCAACCAATGGTGAAATATGTGTGAATGCACTGAAAAGGGATTGGAGTCCAAGTCTTGGCCTAAGGCATGTGCTAATGGTAAGTCTTATGTACCCAGAGTATTTGTTAAGTCTGTATATACCATTGCCTCATATGTACGGTGTTTAATCTGACTATCAACAGGTGGTTAGATGTTTATTGATAGAACCATTTCCAGAGTCGGCTTTAAATGAACAGGCGGGGAAGATGCTCCTAGATCACTATGATGAGTATGCTAGACATGCAAGGTCAGGACTCAGGAGTAATTCAATCATTTTACCAGCCTTCTTTTTCTAACCAATTTACCTGCTCTGTTATGATGTTGTATAAAGTTTGTAAAATCTAGGATTAGAAAAGGGCATTCATTGCCAATGCTGAAGCTCCTATGCAATTTCCTTTGGGAGAGTGTTTGGGAAAGGATAGTCTAGGCCAACTTTCCCTCGTTTTTGCAAGGTGATAACATGAACCCTGGACTGCCAGGACACAATGGAGAAACCCCATCAATGCCTGGTGTTGGAAATTGTCCCAGTAACAGACCAGGACCAACCGGTTTCTTATTTACAAACCGTCCGACAAGCCCTAACCCAAAACACCTAACTAATTACTTTCTGATCTGGCTCTGGTTCTCCTTCTAAATAGGACTGGACTGCAGCTGATTCCAGTTTTTTGTCTTGGTTATAAAATCAGGTAGGGCCAGACCAGAACCAGATATAGTGTTAATTTTAGCAAACCTAAAACTGGACCGGTATTACTAGTTCTGCTTACTGTTTCTATGTTAAGGGGGTGGATCCACCCCTACCAATGCTCCTGGCCCACCACAATATGTCATTTAAGGATAAATGCAAAAGGAGAAAATGAAAAATGGCAAGAGTATACCTAAGTTACTTTAAGGCCTTAAGGTAACTCATTAGATATCCTAATGTGTTGCAAAAAGAAGAAATGAAAAATGGCAAGAATGTACCTAAGTTACCTTAAGGCCTTAAATATTACCTCTCCGTGGAGTTAAAAAGGTACTTTGTGCTTTATTTGAGAATTCATACGGGGAAGAATGCCAAAAACTGTAATAGCAAAGAGCTACAACTATTGTAAAAGGCGGGGGGTAATATTCAACGCGAAGTGGAAGAAAGTTCATCAAATCGGTTTTCATTTCTTTAATGACTCCTGTATTACTACTACTGATTCTGAATCTCAGGCTTTATACTGGAATTCATGCTTTGAAACTGAAGCCCAAGGTTAAAGCAGGGACTATTTCGGAGTCAACGATCGCTCTGAATGTTGTTGATCAACAAACTAACACCTCCTCAATAGACAGCGTTAAGCCGAAGAGCTGTAATCCTCTCCAACACCGGTCACTGATCAATACGAAAGGGGGGAAGGGTCATCTAGATCACCCATCCATACCTTGGCATCCTAGCCCCATAGCACTTGTGCAGAAGGAAAGTGGTTTGAGAAGAGTGCATGTGCATTCTATAAAAAAGAAAATAGATGCGAGAAAGAAAAGCTTAAGGAGATTGTAATTTGTTCAAACAAATCTTGTGAGCTTTGCCCCCCTGGGTGTTAAATTCATAGCTTGGGCTAAATCATATTTCGTTTTATTCATCATACCCCATAATCGTTCCCAGCTTACTGTTTGTTACTATTATACAGAGTATTAAATAGTACTCCGTATATCACTATTTCTTTTTATAAAAGTTAGATCTATTTATAATATGCAAGTCTTATTTGCTTATATTAAGTTTAACACTATAAAGGTGAATTTCAAATGGTTTCAAGTTCATGAGTATGATACTGTGAAATGTAACTCTTTATTCCTATTACAAATGCATTAAAAGGTTACAACAATACTATATTCAACAAAGTGAATTGGGTTGAATGCAATTAGTGTTAGAGTTTGAACATTCCCCTCAAGTTAGAGCATATAAAGCATATGTACCAAACATGTAACAAATGTATTCTATTCTAAGATGTCTAAGATATTTTGCTAAAACATTTACAACCTGATTTGTCATGCTGACATTATTTGTGATAATTTATCCTCTTGAATGAAGTGATAATCATCCTCAACATGTTTTGCTCTCATGAAATACAAGGTTAGATGTGATGTGCATTGGAGCTTGGTCATCTCACATCAGTTGCATTGGTTTCATGCTACCATACCTCAATTCACCTCCGCTTCAACCACTTGATCTCCTAACTTTTTGTCTAGAGCTTCTAATGGATTTCGAAAAATTGGATTGTGAATAGTATTGAATTGTAAATTATCCCTCTATCCCTCAAAACTTTGTCAAGTTTGACTAGCAAAGAGATTAATAAATCAAAAACTGTGTGGTTGAAATTTGTACAAAAGAGAAAGAAATGATGTGAATCACAAATTAATTGATTTAAAGGAAAAGTGGCAAAATATTTTAAACAACCAAAAAAGAAAAGCTGACAAAGTTTTAAAAGACGGAAGGGGTGTTTTGCTTACTTAAGAACTTTAGAATTGTTAACTTGTGAATTTATGAATCAAATAGAAACTTACTCACTTGTTTAGCTTGTCATGATTCTAAAGATAAATTTTTCTATTTTTGTGAGTCAAAGCTACCTAGTCTTGCGGAGTTAAATTCATACGATGTTTAATGGTTGAGCAAATAGATCTTAAAGAGCAACTCTAGATTTGAATATATAATATGAGAGGAGATGCAAGAATGGAGCATTTTCTACCTTATGAAGATTCTAAGAAAATGATTGAGCTAGAAATTCACAAGTCAACAATTGTTGTATCATCATTGCATTAGCTTTAGGCTTTGTTTGCAAACACTATTCATAAGTGCATTTGAACTTTTTAAAGTGATTTTGAAAAAAATGTTTAATAGTAAAAGTTGGTAGTGTTTGGAAAAAAATTGATTTTGAAAAAAGTTAATGTTGGTAATGTTTGGTAAAATAAGTGGTTTTTGTGTAATAGAAAAAGTAAAAAGCGGATTCTAGCTTTTAGCTTTTAAGTATTAATAATTTAAGTAGAAGTTGTCACTTGAAAATACTATTTTTAGCTTTTTAAAGCCAAAAGCTAGGAAGCGTTTTTTATTAAGCGTTTTCAAAAGTGCCTTAGTACTACCAATTGCAATGCCCAATGTTCTACAATATTATCAAGACAAATCTTCATAATGAGACGAGATTACTTCCTACATATAGTATGCTACATCGAAAGAGAGTTTTCAAACAATTAATATAGAAGTTGTGCAACACTTGTATATGAAAACTCGTAGAATTTATAGAGGGTGTTTGGAACTGATACTGATACTGCTTCTTTTTTAAAGCAAAAGCAGAATCAGTTTTCAAAAGCTGGTCATCCCCAGCTTCTAAAAAAACTGATTCTAGGAGTAAATTAGAGCACCAGAATCACTTTTGCACTTTCACTCAAACACTCCAACTTCTGCTTCTGCTCCCTGAAGGAGCAGAAGCAGTTTTAAGAATCAGATCCAAACACCCCCTAATTTCACAAATGAGTCAAGTAATATGTAATAAACTATAATTTGTGATAATTTATTACATTTTTGTTCTTTTTGTTAATTATATTTGATCAAGTGTGCAATAATTTTTAACCTTTGGTACACCCAGTGTTCTAAAAGGCGCTAGACGCTAGTTGGACGCTAGCCCATCGGACGCTAGCCCAACGGACGCCTAGGCATGGACTAGTCGGAGACCTAAAATTATAATTTTATCAATATTTTCACACAAATATGATAAGTAATATCGTGTTTGTGGGTATAAAAAAAATATACACACATACACTCTAACATGCATGGATGATAGAATTGCCACAATTAATAATTTATTATCACTACTCACTTAACTTCATTATATAATAAATACTAGTATTAAATAATACTCCTTCCGCCCCCCTAATATTGAGACAAAAGAGTGATGTGGTTTGTAATAAAAGTAGAATTATGTGATTGATAATGAGTTCATAAAATGAGAATAAAGTAAGAATGAATTAGAACCACAAAAATATCACTAAATATGGTATAGGACAATAATAAGGAACATCCAAAAATAAAAAAATGGGACATGTATAATGAGACGGAGAGTAATATTTAAGAATATAGCCAAAAAAGTATAATTTTTTACCTTAATCTACAAGTACATTTTTTCGTATGCATGGCTAAAGTCATAAAGGTACACATATCTTTTAAAAGAAATAAAATAAAAAGGCAAAAAATGCTCGACAAAATATGAAGCCCTAGACAGCTGATTAAGCGCTCTTGACGGGCAATTAAGCACCCTAGACGGCTGCCTAATTCACCCACACATCAAACCAACTAGTCAGAACGCCTATACAAAAATCGGGGCACCCAGCCACCGTCTAGACGGACGCCTAGAGAGATTTTTAGAATAGTGGCTACACCACTACACTCCTTTGGCAAAACTTTGGCTCCACCACTGAGTGATGTGACAGTTGTCATCGTCACCACTCACCAGGCTGGTCCAAGCGTTACAAAGAACTGAAAGAAGCCCTAAAGTTTAGCATCACAGTTGGTCTGGAAAATACAATTTGAGTAGGCTTATAATTATTCAAGTGCAACAACAATGTTTGTACCGATGGTTGGTACTAACAATAATCAATTGGACTTTGAGACATGTATCCATAAACTCATCAAGAGCACACCCTGATTACCCGTAAACATGACCAAAACTTAAGGTACGGCACATTTTGGTTTAAGTTTAACACTTACAAACATCAATGGAAACAAAAGGAATTTGTTTTGGTAGATATGGCATTTTGCATCATAGACTTGCTCTCCTAACCAGTCTCATTCGTATCCTCTTGCTGACTATCACTTTCATCGCCTGCTTCAGTAACTTCCTTTAGTTCTTCCCCAGGGTTCGATGTCTCTGATTTTGCAGGTCCAGGACCAGCAGACACCTTCACCATTGAGGGACGCAAGAGTCTCTCTCTAAGTTGGAAACCCTTGCGAAATTCTTCTATGATGACGCCTTCATCGAATTCCGTCGAATCTTCACGCAATATAGCTTCATGCAACTGCCAACAAGAGAATGATCATATGATACATGAAAAAATGATTAGCTCCAAAATTCCAATTTCTTTTGAGTATACGGAAGAGTGGGTTCATGCTCTTACAAGTTACAAAAACTATTGCATCCAACACAGCAATGTTAGCATACAAATGTGAAACACTAAGAAATGCAAACTTTTGTGATTCGGGTTCAGTGTCATGATATATACTGTCAATAAATTGTCTAAGATTATTCCATACTATAAAATCATGCAAAAGAACACGGGCAAATCTGAAGTTTGCTTCCACTGGACTTAGTTTGGGGTCATTACATCATCTAGATGTAGCATGTTGCTTCAAATAATTTAAGATTTGATTTAACAACAAAAAAATGTTCAAGAAATCGAAGAGCATGGCCATATTTTTATACTCCCTCCGTCCCGAAATAATTGTCCCACTTTCCTTTTCGGTCCGTCCCGAAATAATTGTCCCATTTTGAAACTTTCCTTATTTAGCAAACAAATCTATACAAAACAGTATCAAACAGTGCCAAACAGTGTAGCAACAGTGTTGCTACAGTGCCAAACAGTGTCGCTACAGTGTGAAGTCAAATTATTTTCTTAATAACCGTGAAAAGTCAAATGGGACGATTAATTCGGGACGGAGGGAGTAGCTTTTTGAAAGATCACCGGTTATTTGAAAGATCATTGAGCCAAATCAGAAGTTTGCTTCCATTGAGCCAATCAGTTTCCTAAGCCAACTTTATTTAGTGGAACTCGATTACAGATATATGTATAGAAATTGCAAGCTAGAGTGCATGAAAATTGTACATTTTCCAGCAAAATGTGATGTCAGTACAACAGATTACATGCTTGATCACTTTGATATAAGGTTAACAACAATGCAGTATTTACATGAAAATGATAATTGATAAAGTTTGCAAAAATGGCAGCTTCATAATTCTCAAGGAGGGTAAACACAACTGTACATCTTTACACACATATAATATGAATATGTTTGCACATAGATGTACTAGTATTGATTCTTGAATAAGGATAAATTGATAGACTTACCAAAGGATCAAAGGCATTGCCAATGGTCTCCACAGGAGTAACACCAAGAGATCCCATTATTTCCATAAACTGTTTAGAGATGCTCTGGTAGCTTTTATTGATTTTCTCCTCTCCCTCGGTTTCAATCTTGAGTTGGGTTTTCGCTCTATCAAAGTTATCCAATACAGGTAAAAGTTTCTCAACGACCTCCCCTTGTGCATTGGTAACCAAAGAAAGTCGTTCCCTATCAGTTCGCTTCCGGAAATTGTCAAAGTCAGCGCTAATTCTAATAACTCGATCCTTCTCATTTGAGAGCTCTTCAGTTAATATCAGCAGTTTTTTCTCCAGCTGGACTTTTTCATCATCTATAGACTTAAAAAAAGCTTCTAATTCCGCAATTCTAGACTCATCATTATTGGCCAAAGCCTCTCTGTATGACTTCAGTGCAATAATAAGAGTTGATGATATATCCTCAGAAGCTGTAGCCTCAACATCATTTGGAAGACCATCACTACTATGATTATCATCTTGATTGCCCTAATACATTATGTTGTCAATAACAGTATAACCAACATACAGGGGTATCAAGCTAAAGAAGGATATTTGCAAAAGAAGAAACACCAAGGAAAAAACATGCATCAAAAAATACATGTTAAGTTGCTAACACATGCCAACTGCAAATTAGGGCATATTGGCATTCACTATTTTATGAATAATAACTCAAACAGATTTGTATCAAAAGAATCAATTTAGTTGTCTCAATTTTATTTTAGGGTTGCTCCATATTAGTGATCGCACCTGTTTTGTTTTCTTGAAAAGGGCTTACATAATAAGACTACTCTATCCAACTTTTTAATGCTCTTCCACGAGAATATTTCACATTAGATAGCTGCATAGGAAAATTTTAATGATTATAGTGCTATTGGCGTGCCAAACTCCAAAAGGAATGGAGTACAAGCTTTCCCCAAAAAAAGCATCAACAATGAATAGAACACATACACTTCATTTCATAACCATCCTATGAATACCAGACATCCACACTTCCCTCTTAAAATTTGAAAGCAGCTTTGTGGCCCCAAATATGATAAAAAACAGTTTTTTCTCCGCCAGTTCAAGAATAATGCTGAAACAATAAATTGATAATAGTGTGTACTTGTACAAATTCAACAAGAACAAAAGACATTAGTCAAATTGAGTTACTCCTAAATTCGTAGCGCCCCGTTGGGAAAGGTAATATACAAACCTCTGCCACATGCTCATGAACTTGCTCCTGCACTTGGGGTTCTGTCTGAGCAGTATCCGCTACCTCACCATCTGAAGCAAAAACCAAGAATTTTCCTGAAGAGCGAGTCACGGGAAGTACAGCTTCTGGTCCAGAATACCGATGGTGGATGCGAAACCGGGCAGGAAGACATGATGAAGTCCGTCTCCGTCTGCTGCCACTGGTAAATGAAACAACGCGCGAAAAATTATGCGATAATGCCGAAGGGTTAGAGGCGGTACTGAAGGAAGCTGACGGCGGCGCTTTCAGAGCAGAGGCTGTCCTCATAACAGTGGCGGCCATAGAGTGGATATACGAGGAGCGGATTGAATGGGCAGAAATCGGCTGGACGGACTATAGTGAGTTTATTGGTTGAGTCAGGCGATTAAGACAGAGTTTTTGGAAGCGGAACGAAGGTACTAGAACTCAAGAATGTTTTACTCACAAAATTTGTTATCCGGTGGAATTTGGGAAAATCCGGATTTTGTTTGAATATTGGGCTTTTGTCTTCAATATTACCAAATTAAAGTTGATTTCCAAAAATGTGACCATTTTTTGAAAAGGACAAAAAAGTGATCAAGAAGATCACATAAATGGAAAAACATGATGTCACTGTATTTTTTATGTCACTGCCAGATTTTTTGTCACTTTAATATGTCACTATCAGATATTTATGTCACTTTCTGTTTTCGTGTAACTTTCGAATGTTACTGTCACTATAAAACGTGTCACTATGCCGCCGGAGGACTTTCCAGTGACTTTTTCTGATCCAAATGTTATACAACCTCGACAATTTTCACTCCAAAAATTGTAACCACGCCACCGCCAACACAGCGGCCGTCACCCCCGACCGCCTAGGGCCCCAGCCCTCCACAGTGACGCTGCCACCGCTCATGATTTTACAGTGACACCGGTTGCTGGAATTTTCTCCGGCCACCCCAACCTCATCAATCTCCCTCCTCTGCCCCCAACTCCCCTCCCAAGCACATCCCCTGCGCAACTGTTGTCCAGCTTTCAAAAGCCCACCTCTAGCACCTGAGCTGTCAGACCAGCCACCATATCTCTCCGCCACCCGTCAACACCATCAGAGACCAATCTAGCCGTCGCCAAATATGTCGTTTGAGGCTGTGATGCCACCTCCGTCGGTCAACAGTACACCACCAACATTCAGTTTCATCCCCCAATTGTCACTCCCAACCCTAGCCCCAATCTCCAACACACCACCATCCGACCAATAGCCAGCAGCCCTAGGCCACCAGCCCCAAACCTAATTTCAGCGCCACCGTCACTAGCAATTACCTACACTGCTACACAAAAGCATGACCACAACTATGGAGCATGGACATTGCACCTTTCACCTCAAATCGAAAGAAAAAACGATTAGAAGAGGTAGAATAGAATCGGACGGCGACATAGAGGCAGACTCGGTGGAGTAGTACGAGGACGAGGGCGGTGGCAATGCGCCAGCTCTATTACCGGCGTGAGAGAAAGGGCCACGGCGACGGAAACGACGATGATGAAGCGACGGGAACTGCAATGGTGAGAATGGTTGGCCATGTCTGCGTCTGCTTCATCGGATGAATGTGAAGGATGGAACGGATCTCGCCCTTTGTTTGCGCAGGAAGCTCTCACGCAGGTTAGTCGTGAATGGGGAGGTACAGGGAGGGTCCGTTCATATTAATTGAGTTACTTTTTTGTCAAAATGAATTATGGTCATATATTTGTCTACAACAACTCTAGGAGTAATATCTATGCCATTATTTCTTGAATATTCCGATAATTGGAATATTTTTGAGAGATAGTGTTTCAGTTCTGATCATTTTAATTTTAACATTGCATGTTTTGTGTTTAGCAAGTCGGATTGTTTTGTATGAGATGACTGACTCTATGTTTATTTTTTAAGGCTTACGATTGGATATATTATAAATGTCTGGAGGTTGTCTTGTATATTTTCTCGATATTAATATACAAGCCGCTCTTTTAGTTTAAAAAAACATGCCCCTCCATTTTCTAGGATTCAATATGGTTAGTGTTTCTATCACTCATTCACTCAGGCAGTCAAGCTCAGTTGGTTGTAAATCTCATGTCCCGCGTTGGGAGTTTGTTGTATACCATAGTTGCACCCAAAAGCAAAACCATAACGAGAGTGCATTAGTATTTTGGTGTTACTAGGTCGGTAAAAGTGATTTTCTTGATCATTATTTTTATATTTACTTTTATTTTATTTATTAAAGTTTAAGTTAGTTCGCACAATTGGTTATCGCATTAGTGGCGTGAAGTTATCATGCGTTGAGTTATGACTAAATGCTAACTGACCATGCACTTGGAATCGCTCCGAGTAAGGCACGAGCTTGTCATTGCTAGAAGCGCACATCGACACATGCCCTTGGGGGCCGTACTGCGGGTCAGAAAATGGACAGTGAGCACATGCATTAGTCTAGTCCGGATTTTGATGACTTTGGGCATGAGCTAGGGCGGAGCGTGCGTCGATGCAGATCTTAAGGGTAGTACCAAATACTCTCTTCGTCGCTTAACTTTGTCACTTTCCTTTTTAAATAAAGAATTTGCGGTTCCTTTTAATTCTCTCTCTGCTGCATCAACCTCAATCATACAAATTTTAGTTTATTATTTTATGTGTCAATCAATATTGGCAAAGTTTTAATGGAAGAGGAGAGTATTCAAATGGGAAATTTGAAGGTTAAAGAGATGAAAGATAAGCCACTACCCTACCATCAAAAGTTGATAGGGTAGAAATTTGAATGATGCGTCGTCGGCACTATGGGCATGCAATCCGTCAAATTCATGAATCATCGCAACAACAGGTAAAAATCCGCGTCGACTTTTTATCAGCTAATTAGTGACGTGCATGAATGGATTAAAGAGATTCCCATTGTCCCTATCTATATCCAGCAAAACCACAATCACGGGAATGGGTGAATAAATTCAACAAAGCACGAATAAACGGAGTGAGTAACTATGACTCTCTTAAGGTCAGGGGCGGAGCTACATGTAACCCCAAGGGGGCCATTGCCCCCCCCCCCCCCCCCCCCCCCCATTTTTTTTAATTTTACCTTAAAAAAAATTTTGCACCCCAAAAAGTTAATAAATAGATATATATTAGTATATATTTATATAAGAAAATTTCTGACCCCCCTACCTAAAGTTTGGCTCCGCCCCTGCTTAAGGTAGCCAAATGTATCATCAAAGTCATCATCTAATTGGATCCATTTTCTCTCCTTCGCCCCTTCACAACACTCTTTGTTTTTGCATCCCGGTAGGCAAACCACCCGGCCACCGATGAGGCAAATGCCATGGAACATTTGTCAAGAAAAATATTAATGAAAAAAATTACAAAAAAAGAGGGAAACTAGACCAAAAACTCTCTAGAAAATAATAAAAACAAAAAATGCCAAATAGTGCAAAACAGTGTCAAACAGTGCCAAACAGTGTCCAAACAATGCAAAAAAGTGCACCCCACAATAAAGTCAAATTTATTTTCTTAATCTGTGTGAAGATTATTATTAACTAAAGTACCCCACATTGTTAATCAGATTAATATTAATGAAGATTACTTCACAAAAAAGTGCACCCCACAATAAGGTACCATACCTTTGTCCACATGGACCAATGAGAGTGTTGCAATTGAATTATTTAAATCTACATTAAAAATGATATAATGATGTGGATCAATCAAATGAATGATAGGTACGGTACCCCAGTTTTTAAATGGGTACCGGAGTTGTCACCTTAACAAAATACTCCCCCCGTCCCTTAAAAGTTTGCCATTTTTCCTTTCTGGGACGTCCCAAAAAACTTTGCAACTTACCCTTTTAATCAATTAATTTGTGGTTCCTGTTATTTCTCTCTCCTCTACACAAACCTCAACCACACAGTTTTTATTTTATTATTCTCCGTGCCGGTCAAACTTGACAAAGTTTTAAGGGACGGAGGTAGTAGTTCACATTTGTTTCGGAAAATATATCCTATTTGGATAAGATCCATTACACTTATATTTTTAACAACTTGAAATATAGCTTTTTCAATAAAAATATACAACCACACACTCAAAAACTTATCGGAAATTCTATTACACAAATTAGATTTCATTATTTTCATAGCGAGGAAGCAATTCTTTATGGTTGTCGTGGAGACTGACAAAGTCGATGCTAGTTTTAGGGTTGTTTTCAAACACTTACAAAAAAGCTCTTCTAGCTTTTGACTTATAAAGCTAAAATTAGTAGTTTTAATTGACAACTCCTACCTAAGAGCCCGTTTGATAACCATGATTTTTTGACTTTTCAAGCTTATCGGTCAACTTTTGTAATAGAATTTCTTATATTTAACTATCTAAATTACACTATCTTACCAAATTATCAAATAAATTAAATAGATTAGATATAAGACTTTTCACTAATCACTATGGTACTAGCCGAAACATTAGATTTTCTTACAAACAAAAAATTAATAATCAGAATGTATTGAATCTTACTATAAATCTATAAATATACTGATATATTCGTAACCCATGCGTTAATAATACGACTCTTTATTGGTTCTGACATCTAAACTTCAATCAAACTTCAATGATTTAGGTTGAGCCTATGATAAAGGAACATAATTTTGAATGGGAGGTGATGCTATAGGGGGCAACCATTAAATTTTATTGGGGACATCAATACTTGCAGTTCTAAAAAGTTCTAAAAGTTCTAACATATTCCTCAGTAGATCCGCCCCTGAAGGGTATTGTGGTCAATGCAGGTGTAGTTGAGTCTTACGCTAAACTTCGGTCTTAGTTTTGGAAAATCCGTACGTTATGCTCCTACTTGTTGAAATCTCCCGATAAAAAATGATTGATGAGGGAAACAAAAAATCGGTTATGAAATGTGTTCTAGATGTACTGCATTTTTCCTTGAATTGGAGAGGAAAAAAATCTCCTTTTCCAAAGACTTCAAATAGAAGTTGTTCGCTTCATTGTTTATCATCTAATTAACTCCCTGTCTCTCCATAATACAGTTTATGCAAAAACGTCACTCTCCCTCCTCAGCTTAATGTTCTTCCTTTTCTTTTTTAGACAATCTAGTTAAAGATTCTCATTTCTATTTTAGAAATAATTAGCACTCTTAAATGATAATTAAATTATGAAATATAAAAAATAATACATCTATAACATTACAATTATCATTATACTCGAAATGACCTCATTATACTATATACTCATAAAAAATATTTCTCAAAATATACTAAAATTATCTTTTTTAATTATTATCGGAATAATCATGTCATTTTGCCATGAGAACCTTAATCTGGAACGAAGGTAGTACATCTTAGCTTGTGTTGAGGTTAATCCAACACGATATAGTAAATATAGATATAAATATGTATGAACTCTCTGTTTTTACGTGGAAATCTAAAAGAGAGAAAATCATGAGACTTTTTAGACTAATGTCCAAGCTCTCTCATTCTCATTAGACTCTCCTCA